AAAATTTAGGGTTTTAGGGGCAATTTGGTAGTTTTGAGAAAGTTTAGGGGCAAAAGGCTAATTTAGGTATTTGGGTAGGATGAGATCAATTGAGGATGTTAATCATAAAATTACCCTTTTTTGAGCCATCAGACCAAGTGAGCTTCTATTATGGAGCCTCCATGTGCTAGTCTTAGCCAAACCCTAGCTTAGGGATAACGGTTTAGGGGACCATCTACATGAGTTTCCAAAAGAGTTAGGTATCAAGCTAAGCATGTTTGGTTAAAGTTTTAGGTTGTGAGTGAAGGTTAGGGGTATCAAGTGTGTGTGTGTACAAAACCGACCAAAACCACACCACCCAGGGCTAACGCTAAGGCCAAATAGTCATATGGGGACTCTTCTTGAGCTCCTCCATATTGGCTCCACCTACTAAGTGCTAGAGGTTAGAACCAACATGTGGAACTTCAAGATGAGCAAAGAAGAGTTTTAGAATTTATGATGGTGGTGACTCCTTTACTAGTCTTCTAGGAATAGTCAACAGGAAAGTCATATGGCTACATCATAGGCTTCCGAGGAAGATATTGGACCTCAACCAAAATTGAGGTCTAATGGTTATAACCCTAATTGAGAACTATTATTTTATTGATGTTGAATATTCGTTACAAAGAGACGTCATAAATTATTTTCTGATACAAAATATCACATTCCTTGTTTTGAAATATGTAACAACATTATTAAAGATAGAAAAGAGATATTTATTAAGAGACACTCATCTTTATGTTGTGTTATTGAGAGGACCTTTGGGTTTGGAAAAAATAAGTTATTTTATGAGATATGCCCACATATCCTCTCAACAAACAAGTGAAGATTGTGGTTGCTACAATTGCTCTCTAAAATTACATTTTTCGGCCTATTTCACATAGTGATATTTATTTCAGTAGTGCAAATGAAAATCAATCACATGTCCCTTCTGAAACATATGAATATCGACTAGAGCAGTCAATATCAGTCATATACATCATGAGAAAGTAGCTGGGGAGATGATTTAGTTGAGGGAGAACTACAATTGCATAATTAATGGGTAAAATGATGTTAGATGTTACTTTTTATTTACTTATATCTAAGATGTTGCAAAAATGCTTAATACTTATTGTAATTACTCTTTATGCAATGATGTTCATGTGTAATCTCTATAATATGTAACATATTTTTTTTCATTCCCTCAGCATGTATTTTAACTCCCATGGATGGTCTCCTAGGTAACTGTGGGTGCAATATAAGCTGTTTTCTTGCATGTTTTTTTTTTAGTTTGAAGGTCTATCATGAGATATATGAATTTAAGGGTTATTTTGGATGACTTTATGTTGCTATGAGTTTTGATATGTATGAAATCATCATCAATGCAACCAAGTTCCTCTTCTTTTTAATCACATGACTATTGGGGTTCTTTTAGAGGGTCTTTATGGTGATACACTTTTGTGATGGATACGAGCTCAATATTATATTGTTTAAAGACACCCAAGTGTCCATTTCTTTAAAATCTTCTGTTTTCTTATAATGACGAATCATTCTTCGATTTATCTTTACTATGAGCCTCACAATTTTATAAATCTTTAATTATGTATTTGTTGTTTCAAATATATTTTTGTTGTTTTATAAATCTTTATATTTTTAAGGCAATTTAATTTATCTTTGTTGAATTTAACTTTTTAAAAAATGTGAGCTCGACGACTCCTGATGCCTCTAGAACCTTGTACTGCAAAAGTTAATCGTAGGGTTCTCTGCTTCTATAACAAAAAGAGAATAGTTATGGGAGAAAATTTTACAGGTGTCAAAGAAATAGATCAGTAGAAGACAAACTTCTTTAGATGCGCGGATCAGTTAAACGATATTATCTCAGCTAGTGATCATGTGTGGAGAGTGTCTTTGGAAAAGAGCTACATTGTAAAATGAATTGTTTGTATTTCAAAATTAATATTCTGATAATTTTAATTATTTTTTAAATATTTTTATTTTTATTTTTATTATTGCTTTAGTTACTGTTAAATGAGATGTAAGTTCTAGATATAGTTTTATGAATTTATGAGTTTTTTTTATTCGAAATGTAATTTCTATTTTGATGTATGAATTATTCTAATTTGGACAACACAACAAGACATCAACAAAATGTCTTTTATTCATAAACAGTTACAGCATAGCTACTATACAACAGTATAAAACAAACAAACATACAACTTTTCTGTAACAACTTTCTCACAATATATTGGCTGCTCCAAATAAACCCTTAGTAGATATGATTATAAAAAGTAATTTTCTTTCTGAATAAGTAAAAAAATAATAAGAAAATATCAAACAAACATAATTATGAAGACAATCTTAAAAATGAAGCAGTGAGAAAAAGTCATTGCAGGTATCTTTCATCAAATATTGTGGATTTATTCCACAAAACATCTCCATAAATACAAAATTCTCATTCCAAGTACAATTGTAAGTTTAAACCGCCATACAGATAAGGTTGTCAAAAAAGCTCGTTGTTCGTTAACACTTCGTGTTCTGTCGGATTCATTCGATAAGTAAACGAGACGAACACAAATAATTTTTTTTTCGTTCGGTTTGTAAACGAACCAAACACGAACAATCATTTGTTCAATCGTGTTTGAATCGTTATTGTTCAAAATATAAAATAATTTAAAATACTTATATATATATATAAATTATCATATTTTCAAAATAATTATATATTCTAAAAATTTATCATATTTAAAAAAAATAAATCTTATAAATTATATTCTGATCTTCAGGTTCGTCTTTTAGCCTATATTAAATTTTATAATTTCGTATTTATCTTTAAGTTCGTCTCTTAGCTTTAATTTTTTTATATCACTTTTAGATTTATTTAGTTTGTTTGAGTGAAAGATAGTTTTTGGGAGTGAAATCTCGCATATTTTTTCTATATCTGATTTTTTTATGGATGAGATATGATATTATGATTTTATTGTGAGTTGGACTTTAATTATTTTGCATTTGTGTTGTGATTCATACAAGTTTAAGAATTAATTTCATATAGGTTTAAGTTTTGGAAAGATTTCGAACAAATCAAACAATACATCATATAGGTTTAAGTTTTTGAAAGATTTCGAACAAATCAAACAATACAATCAAATTGTGAGATTTCAAACAATTCGAATAATTCAAACATATCGAAGAATTTGAACATTTTAAACATTTCAAACATATTTCAAATAAATCAAACCGAACAAGAACATTAACTTCACGAACAACACACGAGTTAATTTCAAACACACTAATTTCAAATAAACCGAACACGAATACTAGTTCTGTTCATTCGTGTTCGGTTCGTTTACACCCCTACATAGAGATGTTAAATTCCGGGTAAAATAAATAAAATCTTTTATACTTCGGTTATTATTATTTTTTTAATTTCATGGATGAAAAGAAAATAAAACTAAAGGGAGACGGACCTCGCAGGCATAATTGAAGGGAAGCAATAAAGAAGACGCAGACCTCCGGACATAATTGAACAGTAAGCTTTTTAAACAAAAAGACCCTCCAACTTGGCTTAGATTTACACAAGAGTACAAAAATCATAGGCTGTCTCAAATGGTGGAGTTCCATGGTGTCCCCACATCTTATCATTCCTTATCATCACACCAAGCTATCCACTCTGAAAAAAACTCAAATTTTGCTCAACTTTCAGCGCAAACGCTTCACCTCTTTAAGCGCATCCGTCTCCCTTCGCCATCCTTCTCTTCTTCTCCTCCAAGCTATTCAATATCTGAAAAGAACTCAAGAACTCCACACAAGCATTAAAGGCCTCACCTTTTTCACGCACTTCCTCTTCCCTTCCCCGTTTTCACCCCTTCCCCTTAGTCTCGCTTCTCTTCCTGTAACTTCTCTTTTTCCATTTTCTATTTATCATCATCTTCATCATCTTTATCATTAGTGTTTTGTTCTTCTTCTTCTTCCACATCGAATTATTCATGTCATTCACAAAACGAAACCTATCCAGTAGGTTAAGACCCACTTTGATGACCTCTGGACTGGAGCAAGCTTTTCTCTATCTTGGGGAATAGGAGGAAGCAGAGGGCATTCTGGTCAGAAAGAGAGACCAGAGAAGCAGGGCGTAGGAGCACTTGCGTTTATGCTTGGCTACTGGCTATGATTGAGGGTGAAACACATGAAAGAGAAGTTATTTCTGGTGAGTGGGGGATTTCGCGTGGATACCTTTCTGGCGCTTTATCTTACACTTTATTTTATTGAGGCTCTCCTGTTTTTGAAATTTTTTTCTTAATCGAGTTCATTTAGAATAGATAATGGACATGGCAATCAGACATCCCTCCCCACCTTATTCCCCCATCATTCTCTCAAAGGAATCTACTTTCCCGGAACCAATGATTCAGGATCCCTCCTAATAGTCATCTCTAAGCTACCTCCAGTTTCTTCTTATCACCATCATCTCTTCTGCCGCCCCCTTTCGAGCCAAAACCTGCAATGATGATACGGTTCATGTTCGATTCTAGGTTCGATTCTTCAATAACTTGCGTGTGATCTGCTTTGTGGTGGCTGTACTTGGTGTTCTGTCTATCTCTAAAATTTTCAAGCTTTTCTGTTTTATATTTTATTTTGCTGGTTAGAATGAAGCTGAGACTTGCTCTTGAAGTTAAAAAATGGTATGATTTTTGCTCCTCCCTTCTTGTTTGGGAGGTCTGTTTTTGGCTGCTGTACTTAAGTTGGTTATCCAACTATTCAATGCCTTCATTAAGTGCCAATTTTGTTTCGTTTTGCAAGTGGACTTTTCATTTTTGTTGTTTTAGCTTTTGATTTTTTAGCCATGTTATTTGGCTTTTAGTTGATTGAAAACTTTGTTTTTCCTTTTTTTTTCATATATTCAAGTCAACTGTGACGACCGCATCATTCCGGTTCTTCACATCCTGCTCTTCATTGCAAGCATACTGTTGAGTTCCTCAGTTCAAAAGATCATGAATACTTAGTTTTTGCTCTTCATTGCAAGCATACTGTTGAGTTCCTCAGTTCAAAAGTGCTACTCTGGATGATTTTTCTGGCTGTTACAAAATTGAATTTTGATAAGTATGTTGGTTGTGGAATCTCTATGATATCCCCATGAACTGGTTTATTGATGCTGGAGTCATGGAGCAGAAGAGTGGCTTTCTGGGTAAAAAGGGGAAGTGTTGGTTATGGTGGGCAGAGGAGCTCTCTCTGCAGGGTTGGAAGAACCACATATACTGCCACTATTTTGGTTCAAAGAGGATCAGGGAGACTTGGTGGAGAAAGCTTCTCTTTTTATGGGTTGTAGGTTGGCTGCTTAGTTCTTTATGGATTTTCTGGTTCATGCATTCACAAGCTGTTGAGAAGAGGAAGGAGACACTGGCCAGTATGTGTGATGAACGAGCTCGGATGCTTCAGGACCAATTCAATGTCAGCATGAACCATCTTCAGGCTTTAGCAATTCTTATTTCAACCTTTCATCATGCTAAAGAGCCATCCGCCATCGATCAGGTAATACCTTATCTTACAATCTTTTCTTTGTTTTACATTTCACCCGTTCTATTTTGCTTTTTTCTTGTTGATTATTACTAAAGGAACTTTTTTTTTTTTTTGAATTTGGCCATTTTTGTGAATACTTAGATTTTGACAATTTGAATATAAATCGTTAATGAGCAGGCGACTTTTGCAAGATATGCTGAAAGAACTGCTTTTGAGAGACCCTTAACAAGCGGTGTAGCTTATGCTGTTAAGGTTTTACATTCTGAGAGAGAGGCATTTGAGAGAAAACAAGGATGGACTATTAAGGTGATGTATTCTAAGAAACAATATCTGGCTGCTGAGGCACAGGAGGCATCACCGTTACAAGCAGAATATGCTCCTGTTATATTCGCGCAAGATGCATATAAGCATGTCATTTCACTCGATATGTTGTCGGGAAAGGTAAAGCTGTTCTTTTAGTGTATCTGCCACTACTAATTTTTAAGTTTCATTTCACTCGATAACATGATTTAGGCCATTACATGTGATTAAAATGTCAGTATCCTAAAAATCCATGACTAAGCTAGTGATTTTCTTAAGTAGAAATTTCATTAGCCGAATTGTGCTAATGAAATTGTGAAAACTTGTAAATTTTATGCTACGTATGAAGTTTCATGGCTGACACATCTAACTCTATCTTTGTCTACACTGAAGTGAATTATCTGAAAATCTGCAACTTTTGATGGCATATTTTAAAAAAAATGGCGGTTTTATATTTGAACTCACCCTTTGTTATGAATATGAATGCAATATAAAAAATTCGCTTGTGCAGGAGGACCTTGAAAATATTCTAAGAGCAAGGTCATCAGGGAAGGGGGTTCTAACAGCTCCCTTCAGGCTTGTAAAATCAAACCGTCTCGGTGTCATCCTTACATATGCCGTCTATAAGAGAGAGCTTCCTTTAGATGCAACCTCAACGGAGAGAATCCAAGCAGCCATTGGGTGCGATGCATTTTGATTACTCACTCAAATATAATGCTAGAATCCTTTTTTCTATTCTCAGAAGCTCATTTCAGGAAATTTTGGCAGGTACTTGGGTGGAATTTTTGATGTTGAAGCTTTGGTAGATAAGTTACTTCACCAGCTTGCTTGTAAGCAGTCTATTATGGTTAATGTATATGACACCACTACTCATGATGAACCTATTAGTATGTATGGCGCAAACATTACCAATAAAGGCATAAACCATAAAAGTTCTCTCAACTTTGGGGACCCAATGAGAAAACATGAGATGCACTGCAGGTAATTGAGATTGTGTTCTTATGTGGAAATTTATTTGAAATAATTAAACAAAACATTGTCATAATTGGTGACAATTTTGCAATCAGATTCAAGCAAAATCCACCTTTGCCGTGGCTCGCAATTACAACATCATTTGGAGCTCTTGTTATTGCTCTGTTAATTGGCTACATTTTTCATGCTACCGTCAACCGCATAGCCAAAGTGGAAGATGACTATAGAGAGATGATGGAGCTTAAAAAGCGGGCAGAGGCCGCTGACGTTGCCAAATCACAGGTAATTTCCTAATTGTTTTGTTTTATATGATAAGTGGTTGTATTAGAAAATTATTATTTGAGTGTAAACTTGTTCGGATGCCTATGTTTTAGTTCCTGGCGACCGTTTCTCATGAGATCAGAACCCCTATGAATGGTGTTTTGGGTAAGGATGAAATACTAGATGGTTACTTGTTTGTTGAATCTCTGCTGCTCATACTGCTTTGAATCTTCTTCGTAGAGCTTCTACCATTTGACTATTGTTGTTTAGGTATGCTACAAATGCTCATGGACACTGATCTTGATATAACACAACAAGATTATGTTAGAACTGCTCAAGCTAGTGGGAAGGCTTTAGTGTCACTTATAAATGAGGTCCTTGATCAGGCAAAAATTGAATCTGGTAAGCTTGAGCTTGAGGCTGCTCCTTTTGACTTGAGGGCTGTTTTTGATGATGTCCTGTCACTCTTCTATGGTAAATCTCATGAGAAAGGAATTGAGGTAACTAACTGCAATTTTTAAGATTTTTTTTATCTAATTATGTTAACAAAACTGACTATGGATTCATGTTGTGGAATCGCTGCCGGAATTGGGAGTATAGTTGGCAGTGTATGTTTCTGATCAGGTTCCAGAGACTCTAATTGGTGATTCAGGAAGGGTGCGTCAAATCGTCACCAACCTGATGGGTAATTCTATCAAAGTAAGCATTAGAAATGTAATTAAAAATTGGGCTTGGTCTCCAATTATTGTATTTTGATTTATTCCAATTTTTCATCTCATGTTTTCAGTTCACGGAGAAGGGGCACATATTTTTAACTGCTCATCTTGTAGAAGAGGTAATGACTTACTCATTAGAAGAGGAAAAGAAGGGATATTCCTTGTACAGCTTGAGTGGTTTTCGAGTGGTTGACAGAAGGCAAAGCTGGGCGAACTTTAATATCTTCAACCAAGACCCTGGATTTCAGCAGCTTCGCTCATCTTCATCTTCTGACCTCATAAACCTGATCATATCTGTTGAAGATACTGGAGTGGGGATCCCTCGTGAAGCCCAGTCCCGAGTATTTACCCCATTCATGCAGTTTGGGCCCTCAATTTCAAGGATTCATGGTGGCACTGGAATTGGGCTGAGCATTAGCAAATGCTTGGTGAATCTCATGAAGGGAGAGATTGGTTTTTCTAGTGAGCCTCAAGTAGGTTCTACATTCACTTTTACTGCCATTCTATCTAGAGCAAGAGCCAACTTGAATGAGTACAAACCATCAGAGTTTCAAGGAATGACAGCTTTGGTAGTTGATCACAGGCCAGCCCGTGCAAAGGTTACGAAATATCATCTCCAACGGCTAGGAATACAATCCAAGCTAGCTGGGGATCTAAATGAAGCCCTTCCATTGCTAGCAGATGGAGCAAAGTTTGTTAATATGGCACTTGTTGACAAGGAGGCTTGGTTAATAAATCCACTTTTTATGGACAAACTAAGGAAAGAGAAAATTTTTGATGCTCGAAAACTTTTTATATTGACAAATCCTTGTAACTCGACTAGGAATGGTTCAGCAAATTATATGGAATATGATTCTACAGTGATTATGAAGCCATTAAGAGCAAGTAAGCTTCTGGTATCTTTGCAACGTGCCATGGGAAGTGGAGGCAAGGATAACTTCATAAGTGGTGGACTTCCTGGTTTGTCTTTAAGCAGTCTTCTTCAAGGAAGGCAGATTCTGGTTGTGGATGACAATATAGTGAACCTCAGAGTAGCTGCAGGTGCTTTGAAGAAGTATGGAGCTGAAGTAATCTGTGCAGATAGTGGGAAAAAGGCTATAATGATGCTCAAGCCTCCACACAAGTTTGATGCTTGCTTTATGGATATTCAAATGCCTGAAATGGATGGGTATGTCTTTCTTGCATTTCTCTTGGTGAGAACCAATGATACTTTTTTGTTTGCTTTGGGAGAACGCTGTTTTATTTCGGATCAGTTAATCCTCTAGATGTTATGTATTAAAGGGGCATTTATATGCATAACACCTAGTTCGTATATGTTTAGACTTTGTTTTTTACATTTATACCCCCCAAAATTAATGTTATGTATTAAAGGGGCATTTATATGCATAACATCTAGTTCGTATATGTTTACATATCTAACACCTAGACTTTGTTTTTTACATTTCTACCCCCCAAAATTGTCATATAAAATCAAAAACACCACTATTTTATCCTTTAGAAAGTGAAATACAGCTTTTCATGCATCGCTAAGGCAGCATTTACGTAAAAATTTAAGTTAATGTGTTAGATATGTAAATACATTGAATTGGGTGGTATGTATATGAATCTTCCATTAAAATTTTATCATTTTTCATATCACAAAAAATTTCAATATTTTGATCTTTAAAAAGTGAAATACAGCTTTTCATGCATAGATAAGGCGGCGTATATGTAAAAATTGATGTTTAGGTGTTAGATATGTAATTAAGGTATCTATGTGAGTCTTCCAGTAAAATTTATCTGTTAAACTAATGGTCATATAATTGTTACATTTGGCTTTTTTTTTTTCAGGTTTGAGGTGACTCGAAGGATACGTGAGATGGAGGCTAATATAAATGATCACATTAAGCATGGCGAAGTTTCTTTCGAAACTTGTAGTGAAGTCTTGAATTGGCATGTTCCCATATTGGCCATGACGGCGGATGTGATCCAGGCGACACACGAGGAGTGCTTGAAATGTAAAATGGATGGCTATGTTTCAAAGCCATTTGAAGGAGAACAGCTCTATAGGGAAGTGGCACGATTTTTTAAATCAAACACTAAGAAGATTCAGTAGGTCAGCCTAATGCATTTAGTGATACCAGAGGATTTTGACAAGAGGGCTCTTCTACTTCAGCATCAAGAATTCATCGAGTTCTTTGTTTATTTGATGAGTAAGTGCTCTCACAATTATGAGATAATATGCAGTATGTAGTTATTATTTTTCACTTTATATTTGGTGCTTATTATAGAAATATTTAAGCTGAAATTTGAGGTTTAGGGATGAAATTCGTATTCTACGATGTACCATCCCAAATATAAATTTAATTTGCAAATAAGGACCAGCTGCTTTTGTCTAAATAACTGAAAGTGATCAAATCTCATTTTCTAAAGCAAGTTATAGATTATTAATATTATCCACATAAGCAGATAAAATTAGAATTAACAGCAATTTAACCGCTAGGGGTGTAGTACATTTCAAGCATAGCATATTTGTAGTGTTTGTAATAGTAATTTTACTTTCTGTGACTAAATTGCTCAACTACTAGGCTTTATTTCAGCATGTCATTGAACGGGAAGAGCATTTAGTTCTATTATATCACAATCCATTTGCTCACATGCTTTTCAGTGCATCTTTTGCTCTATGTTTTTTTGTCCAAATCATTTAAGGTTCTTATTATATTTATTTGTTTTTACAACATTTCATTTAGTCCTGCTCTCCCAATTTGACTACTGTTATTGTTTTCACTCTATTATTAGTTCATTAGAGGCAAACAATTAAAGAAATAATTGTTCAAAAAAACTCTCATGTAGATTCATAACATGGGCTTAAATAGGGTATTACAACTTTTTGCAATCCCTAGATTTCCTCAATAATTCCCTTTTTACCAATAGGATCCTAAATAATATCCAATTTTCAACACCCTTCCTCACGATGGGCAAAAGATATCCACTAAACATATCTTGTCACATAACCTTGACAAATCTAATGAACTAAGTCCTTTAGTGAGGCAATCGAACGCTTGCTCTCTAGTGGCTACACGACATGAGCTCTAGTAGCTCGTTATGCAACTTTTTCTTGATGATTAATCTATCAATATCCACATGTTTGGTTCTATCGTGGTGCACTGGGTTGTTGGCAATGTTAATTTCTGACTTGTTATGGCACCATTACTTCATTTGAGTTCCTTGGTCCATCTTGAGCTCTACCAATAAGGCTCTCGGCCACATCATCTCAGCAACTCTGAAGTCCATGACCCTGTACTATGTCTCTGCTATTGACTTTGCTACTACAGACTGTTTCTTGCTCTTCTAAGAGACCATCCTTCTTGAAGATCAACACCCCTTCTCTGGTGCACTCTTCAGGTATCTTAGAATCTGATACGCTGCATCCATATATCCTTGGACCATGCATGTAGCAACTCATAACGCTCACTGCAAAAAGATGTCAAGTCGAGTGTGGCACAGATAGATCAGACTGCCCGCCAATCTCTGGTACTTCTTAAGATCAATTAATTCTCCTACCTCTACACTCAACTTGGTCTTCTGGTCAATTAAAGAGACTATAGGTTTGCACTCCAACATGTTTGTTTTCTTGAGGAGATCTAGTACATACTTTCTCTGAGATAATATTATCCCCTTAGATCCACGGGCCTCTTCAATCCCAAAAAAATAGTTGAGTTGTCCAAAATCATTTACCTCAAATTCATTGTCTAATCTTACCTTTTGTTGGGCAATCTCTGCATCATCATCACCAGTGACAATGATGTCATCAACATACATAGCAAGTATAGTGGTGTGACCTTCATATTGTCGAAGAACACCGTATGGTCTGCATTGATCTGCTAATTTCCCATGCCCGCCATAACCTTTCTAAACTTGTCAATTCAGACTCAAGAAAATTGTTTCAAGACATACAGTGGCTTTCTGACCTTGTACATCTACCCCACTATCTAGACTGTATCGAATCCTGGTGGTATCTCTATACATATCTCCTCCAGTAACTCGCCATGAAGAAATGCATTCTTCTCATCAAATTCGTATAAACTTTACCTAACATTCAATGCTAGAGAAACTAATATCCTCACTATGCTCATCTTTGCTATTGGAGTAAAAATTTTATCATAGTCAATGTCATATGTTTGGCTGTACTCTTTCGCCACCGGTTGTGTTTTTTACCACTTCACCTTTCTTTTTAGTGTTTGTGTTATTGTGCATATCTACTTGCACCCAATTGTCTTTTTCCCCGCCAGTAGTGACATTATCTCTCATGTTCGGTTTTTATCCAGAGCCCTAAACTCTTCATGCATGGGCACTTTTTATTTGGGATCCTCCTTAGCAACCTGCTAACACTTGGGTATTGAGACAGTGTCTAAAGATGCAATGAATGCTCCATGTAAATGTGATATGTTATAATATAAAACAAAATTAACAATGTCATGTTCCCATCCAAAACAATCAGGAGGATGTTTCGCATTGCTGCGGGAGGTCCTCTTAAATGTTGGGGGTAAGGAGAAGGAGGAGGAGGAATCATATCACCTGGGGTCCTGAGTCAGAGGTAGATAGTGTAGGTGTCTCAAGAGTCGAGCAAGACTTTGACAAGAGATTAGCTGGAACAAGTGGCATTTCAGGCACAATCCCCTCATTTTGTTTCCTTTTCCAAGTATACACCCTTAGCTTACCTTCAATCTGAATCCCACAACCTCTGGTTTCATTCCTATCATTTTTCGGTACCTCAAGCATCACAGGACATAGCATTGCTCAAACGTGTATCACTCTCTCACAATTGCTACTCACCTCCTTACCTCATATCTTCAGTATCTAGTGAGTCACTAAAGCGTCAGGTCACCTCTTGGGTATAGTAAGATTTAAATTCTCTAAATTATACATTCATGTTCACAAACAGTCTCTTTTTTATCAAACTCCAACAGACATACTTCTTCTATGTAGAAGAATAACCTACGAACACACATTTCACAGTTCTGGGATCCAGCTTCTCTACCGATGGTCTGTTATCTTTCACAGAACATATACGACCAAACACCTTCAATGGAAGGATCCCGCTATTATCTTCTTTCACATTCAATGGAAGAGTCCCGCTATTATCTTATTTTAACATCTGACAATGAAACTTTTAATCTAACACCCTCGAGGGCATTCTGTTGATCAATTGAGCAGTTTTCAAAATTGTTTGCCCCCGTAAGTGATTTGGGACATTCATTGTGATCATCATTCTTTGGGCTACCTCTAGAAGGTCTTTATTTTTCCTCTCAGCTACTCTGTTTTGTGTCGGTGTATAAAAACATGTGGTCTGATATTGTTCTCTTGTGCTAATAAGTATTCCCTAATTGCTTTGTTGGTATACTTTATCTCATTATCAAACTTCAATACCTTCACTGTTGTACCATATTGAGTTTGGATTTTTTTGTGGAAGTCTTTAAAGTAAGCGAACACATAATTTTTCATGAAATATAACCAAGTTGGGTGATTCTGACGAGGTCTTCTATAGCTTCCTGGTTCTTCTTTCTTGATCGCTAGTCTCACCTGGAAACTGATGCAAGAGAACATGATGCCCTTCTGCTTCCGTTCTGCCTTAAACTTTTACTCCCGACATCATTCTTCCTCAGTCTCATTCTTCTCAATACTGTAGCTGCAGATTGCTAGGGTTAGGGGGTGGGTGAGAGAGAGTAAGAGGAGTGGCGGCTAGGATTTGGCTCTGATACCATAAAGAAAGAATTGTTCTGAAAAACCTCATATACATTCATAACATGGGCTTAAATAGGGTATTACAGCATTTTTACCTTTTTACCAATAGGACTCCATATAATGTCCAATTCTCAACAACAATAGTAATATTCTCTTTTATGACACGTTATTATGGTTAAAATTAAATTAAAAATAATGACAACTTTAAAGCTCAGTTTGTCACATCCCGGGACCTGGATCAAACGGTGATGAACTCTGGCAATATGGAGTGTGATGAAGACAACTTTAAAGCTCAGTTTGTCACATCCCGGGACCTGGATCAAAAGGTTATGAACTCTGGCAATATGGAGTGTGATGAAAAGTTGTGTGGTATGTATGTAAATTGATATATATATTTATTTATTTATTTATTTATTTCTTACTCATAAAATAAAAACGTGTATACAAATACTATGAACAATAAAAGTGAGCAAAAAAAATAAATTTTATTTTATTATTATCACAGTCCAATAAAGAGGCATAGAGCAACATCCGACGAAACGAAATTAAAAGGATTGCGGCAAAAGCAAAGCTATGCAACACAAAAAAAATTACAATGAACTAATAGTTAAATTGGAAAATATCATACAGGCCTAGCGATTAATAAGGTCCCTTCTTGTCTCGTTACATGTCATAATACTTTGTCATTTATATTGCAACAGACAGGTTTTTTAGTGAGTTTATATCAACATATAGTGATTACAGCAGTAGTATGAGTGTCAGAAGACAAAAGAGTCCATATTACCATTATGCTTATAATCACGAATTTGCGTCATTGTAATGTTTTTAATGCTAGCGTCTATATGCCACGAGATCATGTGTGCTTACATATATCTATACTTGACTTCTCAGTCATTTATCACCACCTTGTAACATTTGAATATGTAAGTATTTGTGTGTGTGTGATAGAATTCTAACAGTATGATTGGCAAACCTATAAAATAACTGAGAACCTAATAAGATTGATAATGATAGCACCCCTATCCTTTAATAAGTTACATGCTTCTAAATGAGTGACACAAAGATCCGAATTTGTTTTATATCCCACTAACAATGCTTCAAAGAATTCGACTCACTGATCCGACACAGCTCTAACCATCTTTAATTATGGATCCCCAAATAATGTTAAGCTAAGATAGAGGTAATAAAGCCAATCCACGCTATCCCGCATACCCAAATTAATTGTTACAATATTGTAACCAATCTAATTATCTAAAGTACAACTTCATTATCAACAGAATCATCTGACCATCTTTACCATACATGAAAAATTACGACGAAGGGAGCTATTTTCTATGTTTCAACTTAAAGTACTTACGAGAAGGCGCATTTTTTTAATCAGAAATTATTGAATACAGTGCCAACCATCATTTATCAATGTAAGAGCTTGAGAATAAAATTCTGCATTTCTTACATTATCCATGTTTCTATCAGTTGAATTCAATTTTCTGAAATAAGCTTTATTCAAATGCATGTCTGCACTCAGAAGAAACTTTTATCCTCGAAGGGAGCTCACTAACTTCTGGTACAGATGAAAGCCAAGTCAGTGTAAAGATGTAGAAGTAGTTATTGATGTTGAATTCCATGTCAGCATTGTACAGTGAGGGAGGAACTCCTCTTCCTGGTTTAAAGATTTGTGCAGCAGATTGAAGTGTAAAATAAATATGGTGGCAACTGGGGGAAATTCTTTGGCTCCCTCTGCCAATTATGATTAGAGTGTATAGAGATGCATAGTCTTTCACATCTCACATCTTCCTTTTATTTGTTTACTCTCGTGAAGGTTAATGCATATGAACTTCTCAATACTTTATTGCTTGGATGTTTGTTGCTGATTTAGTAGTTGTAAAAGTTTGATTGCCTTTTTTTTTATTTCCTCATTTTGTTAAAGGGTAAGATATTATTCATTTGGTTTGGTTTATAAGATGAATAAGTCTAACTGCCTTGAAGGGGTGAATATGTAACAGTTTTGGGTGAATAGGTTGAGTGTGAAACATGATTGCCCACAACCTGTGCTGCTCAGTAGGGGTGAGGAGACAAAGTAATATATATATATATATATATATATATATAATAGAAAGATTTATATACCACTATTCCTTTTATTTACATATCTAACACCTAAACATCATTTTTTTATGTATTTACCGTCTTAACTATACATGAAAAATATTCTTTAAAAATTAAAATAGTGGCATTTTTTATATGATATGAGATATTTGGGTGATGTAAATGTAAAAATCGAAATTGAGGTGTTGGGTATGTAAATATGTAGAAATTGGTTGGTATGTATCTAAGGACACTAATCGAGTACTTCTGAGAGTGCGGCAATCAATTGGGATACTCGTGTAGACATATTTACCAAATGAGTTCGTTTTTTATGTATTTACCGTCTTAACTATACATGAAAAATATTCTTTAAAAATTAAAATAGTGGCATTTTTTATATGATATGAGATATTTGGGTGATGTAAATGTAAAAATCGAAATTGAGGTGTTGGATATGTAAATATGTAGAAATTGGTTGGTATGTATGTATCTAAGGACACTAATCGAGTGCTTCTGAGAGTGCGGCAATCAATTGGGATACTCGTGTAGACATATTTACCAAATGAGTTCGGAGTAGTAGAATTTATGTGTACTACTTCCAATTTCAGGTTTCAAAGATATGAGATTTTTATAATTAAGTATTTTTTTAAGACTAATATGGTATTTTGAAGGATAAAATGATTATTATACTATAAATTTAAAATTAAAGTTGGGGTTTTTACATACCAAGGTACCCAAACCCACCTATTTGTATATTAAGGTCCCCAAATATTTTATCTATGCACGGGCTTCTTGCCCGTGCTGACACCCATCTTATCTGAGCCACACGA